TTTAACAAATAACTGGGAATCACTTAACGTGGGTAGTGTGAGAGAAAACCAGAAGAAACCGTTCCAGTCTCATTCGTCATATGAAACTTTCACGAGAAAGTCGAAAAGAATTTACAAAACAGGCCAAGCTCTGTACAAAATAATATAGTTTGCCGCGTTTTCAGTAAGCATTGCAAGTCATATGTTGACTTCAACAAGCTATTGTCGTTCTCACAGGAATAGAAAATCATTGATCAAAATTGTTAGCAATGATCATTCTCATTTATCGAATCGATAGCCATCATTATATGTATACTAGCTTACTCGTAGCAAAAAATGGCAATAATATTTAGTAAGGTTTGCAATTGCGCGGATTATATTTTCTGCATGGCTAATCTGGGATTTTTTATTTATAAATTTAACTCTGCTAACCCATATGTAAATTAAGAACGTTATGGATTTTGTGTGCATTTTCTTAGGTGAAGGTGTTCAATATATAAGCAAAGAAGCCAGAAGAAGCATACAAAAACCTCGAGTTTCTGCTACGGACGCGTTTATTTCTTTTATGTTGACTGTATTTAAACGATGTTAAATGTCTCTTGCTTGAGTATGTCCGTTTTCCTTTTTGATTCAGAAATTATTTATGGAAAATAAGGATAAGAACGGGTAAAGATGGTCGAGCTCAAGTCAGTCTTGCGCTGAGTTGAGATGGTCGAATCCCTACTTCATGAGTAGGGCTGTTAAAAACACGTCCGGACGATCACGTTGGAAAGTGGAAAGACAAAGATTCTGTCCTTACCTGAAGTGGGGTCATAAAATCGCACCTTTGACCAGAAACCCTTTTCAGTTATTTTATACTTACATCATAAATTTATTTATTTTTGTATTCTTTATTATTATTATTTTATTTATTGGTTTTATTTCCTTTTCCCACAAACATAAAAAAAACATTAAAGTAAAAAGATAACAGGAAAAAAAGTAATGTATTAACAATTTGTTTTCCTCTACTTACTAATGAGGAATTCCATTTTTATGGTAACACGAGACATAATCAATTACAGAGGCCGGCTAATGTCTCCTTTTACCATAACAACCATTGTTAAAAAGGGAACCCAGGCTGCGTGAACGATAAATACATACAGTCTGTCTGGGTTTTATATTATGTAGAGACTGCCATGAAATCGCTAAAAACATTTTCGAAACTTAATGAAAACAAAGTTTTATCATCAAAATCTTTATGTTATTTATTTATTAAGAGGAAGGGTCAGAGTATTTTTTGATTATATATTTAAATTTTTGATTCATTATAGAACATTCAAAATTTTGATTAAAAAAAAATTGTTTTTCTTGCATCAGCGGCTCGTATATTCGTTGACGCAAGAAAAACAATTTAGCATTGCAATTTGCGGTGTCAGATACATTAATTTGGAAATTCTTGCAAAAATCAAATAATTGTCGGATTTTAATAAAATTTTCAGGACTCATTCATAAATGAATGAAATTATTTTTGAAATATTTTTATTAGAAAATCTTGTTAAATATATTTTTTAAGTGTATTTCACCCGATTACTTAATTTTATGAAAACTTGAGAAAATCAACGTGATAATGTTTACTGAGTTTATTAATTAATTAATTACTTAAAAGCAGAATCTTTTGAAGAATTTAAATCCCCCAATTTATTTTGCTAAATCTGTCTCCGTCATACCGAAAATCTGAATCGAAAAATATAAAACGCAATAAAACTAAGACATTATTTAATTAGAGAAGCTTTCAGTTTTTATGAATAATATATATTAAAGACAATATTGTCTAAAGAAAAAAAAATTCGATGAATAATGAATTTTTACAAGATTTGTTTTCATTTTTTACAATTTTAAATTGAATATTTTATAAATTTTTTAATCTTTTAAAATTCAGTTTCAATATGATACCTCTTAGGAAATATTGTTAAGTAAAACTATATTTACTAATCATATATTGTAAATCTTATTACAATCTGACTAATATTTTAAAAAGAATTTAGATTTGTTTTGTATGTGTGATATACGTACAGAATTTCTAACTATGGTTGTTCAAACCTATACAATCATTAAAAGGTCATGTGTTTTAAGGGTTGTAACTCCTTACGCGAAAAAAATTATAAACTTTATCATCTGCTTCACCATACTTAACTATGAACACGTTCGGCGGTCATTCGGCTGTCAATAAATCGATTAACATGTTAGAAAAATAAGATACCGTTGTCAAGAAATGAATGTATAGAACATTCTATGCTATAGGTAAGTAATATTTGTTTCAAATCAGATTAATTTAACTTTAAATTTGCTAATTTTCCTCAAATAACCTTTCAGAAATATATACTTTATTTTTGCAGGATTTTTAAAACCATAAATTAACTTTTGTTTACAAATATGTCAAAATGGCCTTTTCATTGATTTTACTGAAAAAAATAATCAGTTCTGATCAATATAATTTCTGTTTGAAATACACCATAGAATATTTTGCTTACCGGAAATAGTAAATTTTAAATCCTTTAGCTTTCAATTAAAGCTCAAATGAAAGCTTCATGAAAGTTTTTTCATTTTTAAAAATTCATTTTAAATCTTACGTATGCCAAATTAGTGTAGGTAGCGATATTATAGAGGAGATATTTCTGTACAGTTTAGTCGTCTCCAGAAAAAAAAGAGCTATGTGTCGTGTCCCTTCAGGTCGTTTGCGATCATGGCTCTCCAAAAATTCCTGTCTTTTGTAGCTCTTAATAAATTTTGTCTTTTTGTTATTTCTCATAAACCTTGTTCCGCCATCCATTTCATCAAGCTCCGTAAGCAGGTAGCTCGTTGCTTTCCTCTGTTCCTCTTGCCTACAATCTGTTTTGTGAGTATCAAATTTTCCAAGCCAATTTTTTTTTATTATATCCCCTAGAAATTTCAACTGGTTCTTTTTTATGTTAAGCTTAAGTGACCTTTTGTCGTTGCTGACATATTCGGTTCACGGTATTCTCAGTATCTTTCTGTAGAACTGCATTTCTCTTGCTTCAAATATCTTCTTCATCTATGAGGAAATTGTTCAGCATTTGTCCACATATCTTTCTTTCTTATTCTTTCTTTCATTCTTTCATATTTTCTATTCTTCTGTTGTTTTTTCTTATTCTTCTTTCTCTTTTAGTTTCTTTCTTCTATTTTTTCCTTCTTATTCTCCATTCTCACTTCTTCTTTCTCTCTTCTTTCCTCTTCTTCTTCTTTCCTTCTTATTCTTCTTTCTTTCTTTCTTTCTTCTTCTTCTTTTTCTCTCTTCTTCTTCTTTCTTTCTTTCTCTCTTTCTTTCTTTCTTTCTTTCTTTCTTTCTTTCTTCTTCTTCTTTTTCTCTCTTCTTCTTCTTTCTTTCTCTCTTTCTTTCTTTCTTTCTTTCTTTCTTCTTCTTTTTCTCTCTTCTTTCTTTCTTTCTTTCTTTCTTTCTTTCTTTCTTTCTTTCTCTTTCTCCTTCTTCTTGCTCTCTTATTTTTTCTTTCCTCCGTTCTTTCTTTCTTATTCTTTCTTCTCTCTTATTTTCTTTCTTTCTTATTTATTTTTATTTTTTTATTTTCTCAGTACAGAGAGTCCCCCGTATTCGCGGGGGTTAGGGACCAGAACCGGCCGCGAACAGCTAGAATCCACGAATACGTGTACCCCCCCACCTTACTAAAAGTGCCTATAAGTACCTATTTTGATTGTTAAAACCCCATATGCCTTAAACTTTCTTCTTAAACACTTTATAAACATTTCAAACCATTTTAAAACATTTTTGAAAAATAGTATTGGTGACCATACACTTAGCGTAAATCTTCTTTCATACGTACAATAACCGTTTTTAATTACGCATAGATCGATACAACCATTGAAAATACTGTATAAAATATGTGTAACAAGACATTAAGTTTAAAACATTTTCTAAAAACAGAACTGTGATGATGCCCCTAGACTTAGCATAAGCCATTTTTAAGACCCCAGCCCCTAACAAAGAAAAAAACCCAAGCACTACGCATGTTTTTGCGTCTGTTTTTTACAATGAAGGTGTACAATTCTGGAAAATAATACAAGAATATTTTAAATATGTTCTATCAAAAAAATACGCGAATCCAGGGAGTTCTCAGCGAATAATTTGTAGATATGTTCTTCAGAAAAACACGCGAATATTCGGGGACCCCGCGAATAACAAGAACATATGTTCTAAAGAAAAATCCGCGAATGTGTGAAGCCGCGAATGCTGAAACGTTGGATAGGCGAGGGCTCACTGCATTCTTATTTTCTTTTTTTTCCTTATTTTCTTTTTTATTTCTCACTTTCTTTCTTATTTTACTTCCTCTTTCTCTCTTTTCCGTCCTTTCTTTCTTTCTTTCTTTTTTTATTTATCTCTCTTTTCTTTTCTTTATCCTTCTTTTCTTTTTTCTTATCATCCCTCCCCACTTGTCATTTCCTTTTTATTTGATTTATTCTCTCTTTTCACCTTCTCCTGATATCCATTATCATTCTTGTCTAAACAATACCAAGCGCCATGTCGGCTTTACTATTAATCCAATATGGCGCCCCACAAACAATTCTGGACATGCGCATATAGCTTTCTGCCACCCCCTGTATTTCATGTCACAACTATTTTTTCGCATACCTCCACCATCGCCACTCCAGATATTTGTTACCACTAAACCGTAACAAAGACACGGATTCCGAAAGCTGATAACACGTGACAAGATTTAAATGAATCCATCAGTAGAAATATATTGTAATTTTTACAAAGGTTTACTTGGGGGTTAGAGTAGTTGCATATTTCTCATTATGTATTTCTCAAGTCCAAATAAAAACCAGGATTTTGAATACTTATTTTCAAGGAAAGATGGCCCTCTCCATTTGGAAGGTTGATGCAATCCAATCTTCCTAAATGCATATTTTTTCAATTTGCTCCTATTTCATAGCCGCTCAGACCGTTGATATCGGAGAGCCGAATTCAAATTCCAATCGAGTTAGTTCGTTACGTTCATTTACAAAGCTTACGACCACATCGCATTGAAACATCAGTTCCCGTACGATAACCGAAGTTAAGCAACGTCGAGCCTGGTCAGTACCTAGGTGGATGACCGCTTGGGAATACCAGGTGCTGTAAGCTTGGATGTGCAGATGGTGTAACGGATAATGTCTCTGTATTGTTAATCAGAGAACCGAATTCCAATTCCATTTGGGTTCGTTAAATTCAGTTACACGCAAATACCCTTGGAAAAAGTATGAATTCACTTTTTGTTATGGCGAAACACACCTATTCTATAGTTAATAGACTCCCACCTAATATAAGTAGGAGTAGTAAGAGAAACGAAGGTCAGTCGATGTCGGACTACAGTCGAACTCTCTGCCTTCGGATGAGGCTATGCCGAAGGGCAGAGTTTCGTCCAGGGAGGTAGACAGACCCGATCCCGTTTATACGGGGTAACGGGGATTTTGGGGCCGAGCCTACGGGCTCGTGAACCCCACATTAAATTCGGCTTAGTGCCACATGTAACTGCGCGGGGCAGTTACTAAATAGCGTCGATGTCGGACGACAGTAGTCGACAGTTAGTCGAATACGAAAGTAGTCAGCGACCACAACAAGATTACTCTGCGTAATACCTATTATATCAAGTTCCTAACGTTTTTGACGTCGAACTATTTAGGACCGATTTAGTACAAATACAAGCCTCCACTGCGAAATAACTCCACAACACTTTTTCTCCCCAGTTATGGGTTAATTAGTAAGACTTGTATCACACAAAAAACATTATTACCTCGACAAAACATCTTACAATCTTAAAATATTTTCTGGCTTTAAATAACCTGCAAATGGTTGATAAGCCGTAGAAAACGAAATAATCAGCCAACATTCACTTGCTCGCAGTTACCTTAAGGAAAGTTACGAATCCATCTGTTGTTTCCATGTCCAAACTGACCCGGGGTAGTAGCAGCTGTTCGGGTCCAAACTATGGGCAACTAGTGACCCCACTAAACAAAAACAAAAAACTATGAAAGTATAAGAAAAACATTTTTATATGAAAAAAATACCAACAATACATTTTTAAGCAGAATTACCAACACTATATTTTATCTGTAGTTGAAGCCATAAAATTGTTCAAAATATGTAGATTTCGGCATTAAATAACCCATAGAGATGTTGATGTGCCACCAAACAAAATCAGTCAACCAACAGTTCTGAGTTATTGACTACTACACCACTCGCACATCCCAACCAAACTTTCAACATCTGGTATTCCCAAGCGGTCACTCATCTAGGTATTGACCAGGTTCGACGTTGCTTAACTTCGGTGATCGTACAAGAACTAGTGTTTCAACGCGATATGGTCGCAGGCCCATTACGCCACACGCACATGAAAGCTTACAGTAGCTGGTATTCCGACGCGGTCACCCATCTAGGTACTGACCACGCTCGACATTGCTTAACTTTTGTTGATCGTACAGCAACCGGTGTTTTAACGTTATATGTCCGTATGCCTGAAAAAAAAAAAGGAAGTTACATGAAGTTACAAATAGCGTTAAAATATGACACAACAAGAGGAGAGTGTAACAAGTGATCAAAAGAGAAAGCAATATTCCTCGAGAGAAGTAAATGTACACAAGGCGGTTACAATAAAGAAATGTTCAAATAATAAAGAAAAAAAGATAAGAAATTACATTTTTAGTTTTACCCATTTCAACCCAAGCAAGGCAATAAAGCCACTAAAACGCAAGAGAGTGTGAGAGAAGATGAGAAAAAGAGAGTACAATAAAAGAACAAGAAGATAACCACCGATATTGCATTTAAATTTTTGAAGTTCAAAGTTGAAGATCGTAGCCAGAAGCCGGGAGAGAATTCAACGAAAACTTTTAACAGAGAACAGATGGTTACATCTCGCTATTTCTACTGTAAAATGATGACACCTTGCCGCTGATCTAGTACTGCATTCATATTCATAAAGTCTAGATACCAAAGAGGAAAGTAATATTTATTTAGAAAAATACAATAAGGTGGCACAAGGCCAAAAGCGGGGATACGGGAAGGCTGATCTTCAATCTGTCTTATTTTAAACTTAGCTAGCCATGATTACTGACCCAACTATAACTTAGCATGCTTTACACCAAAACAATACATTCTTACTTACCACTCTTATTACAGTCACCATAATACCTCAAAGTCTCTATGTAGTCCTAAATAGTTCCGATATGCAAAATTTGTCGGGGGTGGGGATAAAATAACAATATTTAAAAATGAAACCGCAAAGAGAAACGTTCATCAGAACAATTACCATAAAAGTATTTATAGAAAATGACACAAGGAAGTTATATTACGGCGGTGGGAAAGTGAATGAAGACGAGATGCCAGGCCAAGACCAATAATATTGCAGATTCTTCTTTGGATTTTATCAAGAATCTCTATATATACAGCAGAGATCCTTTGTTAAAACATTTCCCAGATCTTTAAATTTCCTCATTTGTTTGATTTTGTTATCTCCGATTTGTAATTCGCACTTTGGACTCACCCCTTTTGCTAGCAACCATGCGTTATGTCATCTTGCAATTGATGTCTAATCCTTTCTTCACGCTTTCCTTCGTTAACTTTTGTAGGCATTTTTGTTGCTTTCTTTCTGTGTCTGCTATCAACACTGTTTCGTTTGTATATCTTATAGTGTTACGATTGTGGCTGTCAATAATGAATCCTGGTAAAAGTTCTAGGTCTCTCAGAATCGCCTCGCTGGACAAAATGAATAAGTCCAGGCACGACCGAAACATCCTTGTTAATTATCCTCATGGCTTTAGTTTAAATCAGATGTGTCAGAAATATTCAGTGTAAGGTAGAAAATATCGTTTAAGCTCACATTTGCGGGTAGAATTGGCGGTGGGCGGAAGAAGTGGGGACTACGTGCCTTAAGCTTTTCACTTATTCTGGAGATTCAGTTGAATTTGCCGCAACGTTAACACATTACTTTTCTAAAGGAGAATAAAACAAAATGAGTTACTTCCCTTGGATCTAATCTTCATCCTGAAGGTTAACAGCTTTTTCTACAGTAGCAAGCTCTTCTACCTTTTCAGATCATTAGCACAACGTATTTTACTACAATTCTTCGATTTTACGAAAATTAAAACATTCTGAAATTAAACCATTCTGAAATTAAACCATTCTGAAAATTAAACCATTCTGAAAATACCAGTTTGACACTGCATGGCCGTTCGATAGTCCCTCAAACCCGATTCGTTTAATTTATTCTCTAGCAGAATTCACGCATTTATACATTCATTTTCTAGCGGAGTATAAAACAGAATTATTCTTCTTAGGCCTGGCCCCTTATTCTCTTGTTTCCATTTTTTTTCTAAGGGCTAAAGTGGAAATTAGCAAAACGGTGACGTCTTAAAATGTACAAAATCGGGAATAAATAAAGTCAAACTAAAATAAAAATAACAATTCTCCACACTTTGTGCAAATTAATTGAAACAAAACGAGTAATTCCGTTATTTACTTTTTAAAAATATTTTTCCAATGAAACATGATCAAGTGAACATGTTAGTACTTCGAATGTCCATTCAATGAAGTCTTCACTTGCAGATTCACCACAGATTTTCGATTAGATTTAAATCAGGAGACTTTCCAAGCCAGTCAACAGTACTTTGCGTTTATCACTGGTAAGGCTTACCATTGTGTCCGTGAAGCGTTATAATTTTCGCATGCTTCCTTGGAGTAATGTTCATCGCAGACAACGGTCGTAGGACAACTAATCGACAGTCGAGACAATAGTTTCTGCAATCACGGATGACGCAATATTTTTCAAGGTCAAAGAAATTTCATCATACACTTCGAAAATAGATTCATATTACCGCACACGACTGCAAATGACCTAAAATGATCTAAAACTAACCGTATGGTGAAAGAAAGGAAACTGAAGTGCTTGTTTCAAATTGCACAACAATTTTTTTTTATAATTTGTTATAACAGAAATGACATTGTTTTGGATTCTTTTGTTCAAAGCGTTTATAATTTCCGATTCCGAGTTGCATGAAATTTCAGTAAAATGTCTAATGACATGAATGTTTGAAAACCTTTTAACATTTATGTAACTTTTGTCACATCGCAAGAGTGACACGTCGTCTAAACGATATTTTAATTAACATATTTAGAAAATATCCAGGTTTGGGTTGCATTATGAGTAACAAGGTCTATTATATTATCCTGATTCGGTTGGTGGTAACGATTATATTTTTATTTATTCTCGAGATTGTTGAGCAGAAATAATTGTGAATTCGAATGAGGTTACTTGTCAACCTTTTACGCCTTATTTATTATTGATTAGCGTATTTGCCGGCCTATTGGATGCGCATCCCCCCCACAATTATCCTGCTTCCAATACAGCAATATCATGTATAAGAGAGACAGGAAGACCACGAAATGAAGTAGGCTTCACCAGGAATCAGTGCACGCACAGAGCTTAACTCTGAAATTAGGATTCCTGGAAGTGAACAAACATGATATCAAAAAATACCCCTGAAAAATTAACCCAAGAAATTAAGAAATTTATAGAATTGCACAATATTTTGCTGTTTGTTTTGCAGAAATCCCAGATTTTGCAGAAATATTTACTTTGACTGGTATATTGCTGCTTGGTTTGTGTGTGTGTTTTTGTTGATATACAGGTATTGGAACTTGCTTTTCTGCATATATGCGATGGGACTTCATTTATCAACAAGTACTATATTTCGGTTTTCTTTGCCTATTACCATATGTACTAGTGTTCACTGATATCAGTAGATTTCTTCGTAGCTATTATGAATTTACTCTATGTGCAGATGTGGCACCCTGAAAAACAACTAAAATAATTTTCAACAAATGCAAGATGAAATGTACAAAAATTCTTCTTTTCCAAAAAATGTCCTGGTAATTAAACCTTACCTCACTCTGTAAAAAAAGTACCAGTTGTATAATTTGTACTAAGACTGTTAAATGTTTCTTCATGGTTAGTAAGAATGTCGCATAAAGGTAAGGTTATAATATTGATTTTTTGTTGTTGTGGTGTGTGCATTTTTTCCCTAAATATTCCCTGCCAAAATCTAGGTGCGTCCAGTAGGTGACTGCGTCCATTAGGCCGGTAAATAT